TTGTTCTCCCTGACCCAGGTGAACAAGGATGAATGACAGAGACACCAAGTCAGTTTAATACACGGGCAGGCAGGGCGCTCTTGCCTCTTAGTCACCAGAGGAGCCCCTTGTATTTGGCTGTCTTACCTTTATCCACCCGAACACAGGGACAAGCAATCAAAGTAACACAAGGTTCACCTGCTTTCCCATCGCCGTTCGCACATCTCTGGTAAACAACTTCACCTCAGCTGTCTTAACTTTTCCCTAGAACCGGCAGGCTGCAATCCCCGGTGAGTGCAGCATTTCTCCACTGTGCTCACAGAGGAGGCCAATTAGGGTCTCTGGTCTCTAACACTTACACACACACCCACACGTGCACAACTTATATAAGAAAAATGAGTTTATTTTTAAAATAAAGACATACATTTCTTGCCCAGAGACAGAACCTGACCCATCTTAGCAGACTGCAGGACCTGGACCAAGTGCATTATGGTTTGTTACAAGCTACCAACAATAGAAATTCAATGGCTGTTAAAATACACCCATGTCCTGGTTGGAGCAGTAACGTGTGAGAGCTCACTCCTGCTTGCCACAGGCACAGGCAGAGGATGAGTCACAACAACCTTAATGCTCACACTGGAGAAATGGAAGAAGTACATTTTTTTCTTTCCTTCCAAGTTTATGTATATTCCCGTGATTTTTTCAGATGAACAAGATTTTTTACTATAGAGATTTGGGGGTTAATGCTCTGCTTCATTAGTTACCAGCTATATGGCACAGGGCGGGGAAAAAGCTGTATCGCCTTGTGAAAACTCCATTTTTCTCTCTCTAAAATTACAATTACAAGAAGATCTACTTGATATTGTAATTTTAAAAATGTATAACTGATACTGTGTAACAGGAAGAAAAGGTCTAAAAGAGCAGGGGAAGTGGGAGGGGTAGGGGAAGGGAAAAAAGAAAAAGGAAAAAAATATGAGAAGAGGAAAAAAAATGGAAACAAGGTCTTTGCAAATAGGGAAGGGTGGAGGGGGTGAAGGGAGGGCAAGGGAAGGGGAAAAAAATAAGAACCAAGAGACTCACGTAATGGTACAAGATCCCAATGATGAATGTAACTGTATTATATACTGAAAATGTACCAATAAACTTAATGGGGGGGGGGAAGAAGATCTAAAAGGGAAAGAGAAGAGGGGGAAATAAACAAAATGAAGATGCATTATGTACTGTAGCAACCCACCACAACAAATGTTATCCTTGTGTGCTGTAAACATGTACAAATAAAGGAAACAAAAGACCTGCTTCACCAGGGCATGCTGTGCTAAGCTCAGCAAATGTACTCATGGGTATGTGATCGTTTGGGTCTCATACATCCCCCAAAGGCTCATTGCATTGAAGATGTCATTGGTTTTTTTGGTACCGGGGATCGAACTCCGGACCTTGCACTTTCGAGGCAGGCGGCAGAATCACTGAGCTAAATCACCAGCCCGAAGGTGTCATTGTTGATGGGCTTTTAGAAAACGAATGCATCATGAGGGCTCTACCTTCTTCCAGGCATTAGTCCACTGATGAGCTCGTAACAGAATGGCAATTGGCGAAGGAAACTGGAGGCAGAGCCTAGTTAAAGGAAGTGGATCATGGTGCCATGACCCTGGGACTCTATCTGGTCCCCCTTCCTGTCCTCTCTGCCTTTCTCCTTCTGTCTGCTTCCTGGCTGCATTGAGGTGAGCAGCATTCCTCTGCCACACCCTTCCACCATGATGTTTCTGCCTCACCACCAGCCTGACTCTGGACTGAAACCTCTGAAACCATGAGCCAAAATGAAACTTTCCTCCTTTAAATTGTTATTCTCAGGTATTTTCTCACAAGGAGGAAAGCTGACCTAGAGTGTTAAAGAAATGTTTTGTAAGATATGAATCCCAGAATGTTCAGTGAAAGAGACATAGGCTCTGATTAGGCAGTCAGAATTAATGTCTTACCTGTTTCACTTAACGTGTGAAACGTAACCAAAAATGTAAGAGAATCTTCCTGAGCCTCAGTTTTCAGATCTAGGAAATGGACATACTGTATTTCGTGAATATAAGACAATTGGAGCATTGTGAATACCCAGTAAAGGGAAGTTGTATTATTTCAAGAATAATCAAAGTTAGTTCTTCTCCACAGAAGGGCTCCCCAAGAGATAGGAAAAGAACTTTCTTCAAAAACAATTGCAAGAGCGAGGGATTTAGCTCAGAGGCGCTGCGTCTGCCTCACAAGCACTGGGTCCTGAATTCAATTCCCAGTACCACCAAAAAAAAAAATCGCAAAGTCACCTGAGTGCTAAAAAGAACAGAGAAGAATTAGACAAGATGCCTGTTTCCCTGACCTCCACACCCTAGAGCATTTTTCCAGATCTCTGACCACCTGGACACTTCCGCTCAGAGCTGCCTCTCTGAAATATTATCAGAAGGGGGAACAAAAGATTCTAGATGTCAAAAAAATATGGAAAGAAATTCTTCCCTTTTAACTAATCGAGGTTTGGCTGCTGGGAGTATTCAAGAAGCCACTGTGCCCCTAAATCACCAAGTCACAGCACCTTGATAGAACAACAGGCACGCAGACTATGGAGTGTCCAATTTCCCACCATGTCCCATCGCTGTGAGCTGATAAATCAGTCCCAGCCCATTACCCAAGGCTGGCGAGTCAATGTATTCATCATCATCATTATTTTTATTATTATTACTCCCAAGACACCTCTCCAGCTGTGTGTACGCTGTTCTCTCCCAAGCACAGAGCAGAAAGGTTGACAAATTTGCTTCTGAGACCCTATCGATCACAGCAGGAAAGAAAAGGATGAATTGGAAAGAAAAATCAGAAGGGTACAGGGGAAAAAGAGACAGTCTGAAAAGGTCTAAAATAGCTGCTCAGAGTATTGGCCTAGAACTTGCTCGATGGTCTCCATCATGGGTGGAGAGATTAAAACAATAGACTCCAGGAGATGCCAAGTCCTTAAGTTGAGGGGTGACTTAGGGACCTATCTTAATCAACAACTTCTTCAGATGATTTTACACACCTAATGTTTGCACCTTAAAAACTATTCACTGGTGAAAATCACTGGTAATGATGTTGACGTTTCATAGTCCTGCTGTTCATCTCTCAGAGATATGTTTTGCAGAATATGTGAATGCACACTTGTAGGAGTAGGCCAGCATCTTTCTGATCATGAATAGAAATAACTCAGTTCACTGGAATAGGAATATCCCTGAGTTTGATCCCCGGGACTGGGGGAAAAAAAGGAAAAAAAGGGCCAGGGATTTAGCTCAGTGGTTCCACCACCTGCCTTGCAAGCACAAGGTCCTGAGTTCAATCCCCAGTACCAAAAAAAAAAGAAAGTAAAATGAAAGAAAAACAGGAATGTCCCTTGACTGACATCAGCAGTTCTAAAACTTTAATATAAAAGTCAGCCAAAGGGGCCAGTAGAACATAGAAATTGCTAGCACCACCCTCAGTTTACTATTCCACAAGTCTTAGTGAGGTCTGAGGATTTACATTTCTAACAAGTTCTCAGGTGACCTCATCCTAATGGTCCAGAAAACTATAAAAACCACTGTGCAGCGATGTACACCTATAATCCCAGCTCCTCGGGAAGCTGAGGCAGAAGGCTCATAAGTTCAAGCCCAGCCTAGATAACTTAGTGAGACTGTCTCACTATGGAAAAAAATTTAAAAGGGTCTTGGGATGTAGCTCCTTGCAGGGTGCTCACCTAATACCATGCACAAGGCCCTGGGTTCTATTCCCAGTACAGAAAAAAAATAGAAAATAAAATGAGTAGCACACAGTGGGTGAGTTTTTGGGAAGTAGCACATGCATTGCATGCTCTTTTTCCAGTTTTTTTGTTTTTTGGTTTTTGGGTTTTTTTGGTACTGGGGATTGAACTCAGGGCCTTGCGCTTGCGCAGCAGGCGGTGAAACCACTGAGCTAAATCCCCAGCCCTGCATGCTCTTTTATATGGGCAGAAAAGAACAATAAGGAAGAGAAAAAAACCTACCTGTTACCTTACCACTACCCACTGGGCTTGTGGGCTTCCATACAATCACACACACACACACACACACACACACACACACACATGCACACTCATACACCTCTTGCAAAATAATTTTTAAATCACTACACATTGCTGTGTTCACCTCTTTCATCAAACAACACATCAGAAGCATCCCTCCAGCACGTCTGCCACTGAGCCACAGCCCCAGCCTTTAAATATTCTTTGATATAATCATTAGGCAATGATACGCTCACAGATACGCTGGGTAGGTGGGTGTGTGCATGTGCATGGGTGTGTGTGTGTGTTCTGAATTCCACATTTCATGTGCCAGGTCTGCTTGGGCACAGTGTACCTATCATAAGGATGTGACTTTTGTAGTAACTCAGAATTTAGATCTAAGTCAGTGCCCACAGCACAGATGAGCTGAAGCCCAGTGCATTGGGAGTTCCTAGTGGAAATTCTGGATTTTCTCCAGTAGTCCAGGACTGAAAACGCCTGAGCTCTGGTCTCTGTTGAGATTTACTGATGTTCTGCTTCTAGAACAAGTCATTAGTGAAGGCTCTGACAAGCCCAGGGTGAAGTGGGCAGAGTGAGAAGTGCGGGGATGTCCTTGATTTGATCAGTGTTGCCCAGAAACCATACCCATGTCTTCAACACGTGCCAGAAAGCTTTCATAGTAAGCAAGCACCCTTGCGCATTTATAAGACATGATTACACTATTTCTTTTTTATAACATTTTGTTAATTTGTCCCCACTTTCCAGATGAGGCTTGGGAAGAGTCACTGAGATCATGCATGCAAAGCTCCAGTATGAGGACATGGTAGATGCCCTGAAATCCTCAGTGTCACTGGGAAGAAGAGAGAGTGTGCATGCTGTGGGGTTTCCCCCTTGTCTGCCCCCTTCTCTGGATCAGACTACACTTTCATTCTTCGGACAATCATGAGATGGAAATTGCAGGACGCCAAGGGATGGGGTTGAATCAATGACAAGTCCCCAAAAGGCAAATCACAGTCTTTATTCCCCATCAAATCTAAAGGCTACTAAAATCTAGATATCGCTCACAAACTCCCAGCCCTCTGCCTAGAAGTGGAAATTGTCAACATCGAAACAAGCCTGAGGCTCAGAGCAGACCCAGAATACTTGATGATGGAGGGAACAGAAAAACTGGATCTACTGCACTCAGCTGACCAGGAACAAACACAGGGGACTTTCATAACCTCCGTGTGGCCCTCCCTGGGAGACTAGGGAAGGTGGTAATGGCGAGGCACAACCTCTTTTTGCCCTGTTTGGAATACACTGGGACAGTGTAGCCCTGGTGTATTTATAGAAGTCAAAGAAGTGTAGATTCAAATAAAGGGAAGGGAGACCGTAAGAAGGGCATACCCACATTTCTCATCTTTTTTCACCATGTATCTTAAGAAGGAACTAGACACTGTAGCGGGCCATCCTAAAGGATAACTGTCACATACTAACAATTCCATTTTTCTCTTGGAAAAATCATCGCATGGCAACCCTGTGCGTCGCAGGCTTCATTAAAGTGATTTTTCCCAAGAGTCTCCTATAACAGCATGTACAGCACTTAGTCCCGCACCTGAATCATCCTCAGTAATCAATAAATGGAAATGAGTCACAGCAGCAAGAGCGACTTGCTGAGCCCACCTGCTGAGCTAGGGAGACTGTGCAGCAGCCAACCCAAGGCTCCTCCCAGCCACAGGGAGCTCCTCCAACCACCGCACTCCTGGGCCTGCGTGGCCTTAGGCTGACCCTCCTGTCCCCAGTCCTCCAAGCTCCTCGGCAGGCTGCACAAGCTAAGCAGGATCGTCCCACGATGACAGAGATATCCCAGCTGAAGAACTGAATTTCACAGGTCTGACACTGACACAACCCATGGAATTCAGTTCTCAAAGCTGAGGATACACACAGGCTGTCCAGAGATGGCACAAAGCCTTCCTTCCCGCAGTCCAGGCTTGGCCTGGCCTGGCCCTGTAAGATAAAGAGAGAAAAGCTTGGTAAATGTGAGCAGCTGCTTTCCATTGCTGGACGCATATGACACCGAAGCATCAGGAAGGCTATGCGTGGTAGGCAGGACTGCTGACAATCATCAAACATGACGCTGGTCTTTCCTGCCCTGGGGCCCAAAACTCTTCCTTCCCTTTAACACCAGTTCATCCTGAGGTTCTTGCCTTCAATGTCACTCCCTCAGCCAGTGGCACATCCCTGCCGTGGATGGCAGAGACTACTTGTCTGTTCTCTCCTCCTTGACTATTAATAAGAGTCCTTAAGCTGTAGCTGGGTGTCTGCACACCTGGCATGAAGACTTCATTTCCTTGCCTCGCATAACTGACTTCTGCATGGGAGCAGAAGCCACGTGCTTCCTGCTGTCCTCTTCCTCTTCTCAGTGGAGATGTGGTGGAGAGCCCCCAGGGACCACGCAAATGAGGGCCACTGCCTAAGGAAGGGCAGGCTGCATGCTAGGAGGTCCTTGAAATCATGGGGCTTGCACGTGAGCTGCTCACACATGGACTATGACATCAGCGAGAATTCAGCTTCCACCCACACGTACACACACACACACACACACAGAGAACACATACACGAGCACGCGCGCACACACACACACAGTAACTTTCTTGAAATAGAATCCATACATCATACAATTCACTTAAACTTTAAAACTCACTGATTTCCAGTACATTCACCAAGTTGTGCTACCATCACCCCAATCAATTTCTAAATATCTTCATCAACCCCAGAATACACTCTATACACGTCAGCACTCACCCATTTTCCACTCCCTAGTCCTGTGCAGTCACTAATCTACTTTCTATCACCTATATAAATGAATATATATCTATATACATGTTTCTGTCATAGATACATGAAATTTCTAGAACTGGCAAATATTTTGTCTATTATCAATTTCATATATATATAAAATCATGTAATATGTGGCCTTTTGTGACTAGTTCTTTCACCGAGCATAATGCTTTCAAGGTTTATCCATGTCTTAGCACTTATATCAGTATTTCATTTCCTTTTAAGGATGAATAATATTCCACAGTATGGATATGCCACATTTTGCTTATCCATTTAGCACTCTGTGGGCATTTGCATTCTTTCCATTTTTTAACTTTTATGAATAATGCTTCTGTGAATGCTCACATACAAATTTTGTGTTGATATATGTATTCATTTGGGGTGGGGGAGATAAACTAGGAGTAGAATTGCTGAATCATATATTAACTCTGTGATTAAGCTTGTGAGAATTCTCAGACTGTTTTTCAAAGGGCTGTACCATTTGAAATTTCCCACCAACAATACATGAGAGTTTCAATTTCTCCACATTTTGGGCAGTACTTGTTATTGTCTTCTGATTTTAGCTAGCCTAGAGGGGTGAAGTGGTACCTCATCATGGTTTTTATTTACATTTCCCTAATGGCTAATAATGTTAAGCATTTTGTCATTTGCCTATTGGCCTTTTGTATAGCTCCTTTGAAAAAATGTCTATTCAGACCCCTTGCCAGTATCCTAATTGGGTTGTCTTTTTACTATTGAATTATAAGAATATATATATATATATATCTTAGATAGATAGATAGATATCTTACTCTATGGGTTGCCTTTAACTTTGTGTGTGTGTATGTGTTTCCATAACATTATTTCCACCTATAGCACAATGTCTGGATCATGGTAGCCATTTCAGTGATTTGGAAGGAAGGAAGGAAGGAACTTTCAGAGGCCACGTAGTTTCATTTTCTGATATTCTAGATGAAAAAAACTGAGAACCTAAAGATATTAAGCCAGTGCATAATGAGATAATAAAAATAAGGAGTTAGAGCAGGGTTTTAGTCCTAGCTTGCCTCCACCAATCATGAGAATGAGGCAAGTCACGTAAGCATGCTGGCAACAGAGAGCTCTTCACGTAATAGCCTTTGCAAGTCTAGAGGGGTGGAAATTTCAGCTTTAACCTTCAACCTTCAGGGATAGGAGAGGCTGAAAGTTAAGTTGAATTGAGTTGTCCACTGGTTTAATCCATCATGCCTGAGTAATGAAGCCTCCATGAAAACCTAGACAGGCAGCATTTGGAGAGCTTCCCACTAGCTAAACACGTAGGGTTCTGAGAGGGTGGCTCAGTGCTCCCAGAGAGGACCTACGAGCTACATGCTCCTGCTCCTACCCCTTGCTCCATGCCTCTCTTCATCCACGTCTTTCGTAAAGACCTTCAGAAGAAGCTATAAACATTTAATAAAAAGTAATGGCCCTCTCTCCCCTCTCAGGTACTAACAGGAGCAAAGTAAGCTAATATGCGAAAAGCCATTCCTTGAACATGAATTATCCTTGAGGTCCCAGGTCAAATAGTGAAATCAGCTGGGTCAAGAAAAGCGGATGGTGGCAGGTGGCTCACTTTCCTGTCCAGGGTGCCTGAGAGGCACCTGATCATAATTCATTTTTCAGTCGGTTGCTGATTTCCATCACCATTTGGGAGAGTTTCCAGTTCATTGTGGAGGATGACCCCACTAAGTTAGCCCCAAATCACAGAAACCCTGGGTCCACCTACCCACTGTGAATCCTAGACAAGAACTGTGACTTCCACTAAGTATAGCCCTGAGCAGGGATCTGTCTTTTTCACTCCTGGATCCCCAGCACCCACACTGTGCCTGACACATTCTAAATGCATCAAAGTATTATTTAACTAATGAACGACTTAACAAACAGAGGAATGGATGTGTGAATGGGTGAATGAATGAACAGATGAGTGGCAACCATAACGCGAACCCAAATCCACAATGCTAATGAAGCAAGTAGACACTGATGGACCAGATGAAGGATTGTGAGGTAGCATCTGGCCATATCTGGTGACAGTAAAGTATGGGGATTAGAAAACAGGTTCTGGAGCTCAGCTGCCAGAGCTCTCATTCCAGCTCAAAGTCTATGAGTGTGCAGAATGAGAAGGCAGCAGCTACATATTTTCATCTCTGCTTAACCTCACATCTATTTATGTCTATCACTGTGCCACATCCACGCCTTTTATTCCTTCTGCTCCACACCAGCCTTCATTTTCCTGTTCCTGCATGGCCCTAAGCCAAAGCTCCAGGCATTTTTTAATTCTGGTTGGATCCACACAGTTTGGTGATTACTATATAAATGTCTGTATTGCTCATGCTGCAGCAGCAATTCCACTTACTCAACATGATCTGCTGGGCACTCGCTTCCCTCCAGTGACATGTAATGTCTTCCCCACCACCCTCAATACCACGTGGCCTTTGACACCCAGCATAGAATGTAAATTCCTTGAGGCTCTCTGCTCTTTCATCTCTAAAAAAAGCTTTGCCTTCCCTCTGATGTGGAGGAAGAAAACCATGATGTGTAAGGGGAAAAAGTGATAGCCTCACCCCAAAGTGCTCCAGCTTAGGTGACTGAGAAATATGAAAGCCAGCAACACAGAAATCTAATGAAAAGGGGGTGCTATATATAATTAAAAAACCCCATTTTCCATCGGTGTCCCAGAGCACCAAACAAGCCAGTTTAAATGTAAATCTCACAAGCCAGGGATGTAGCTCAATGGCACTGCGCCTGCCTGGCAAGCTGAAGGTCCTGAGTTTGATCCCCAGTACAAAAAAAAAAAAAAAAGTAATTCCTAAATCTCACTTCACTCTCACAAAGCCATATGAAGAACTATTGCCATCCACACTGGATGGAAGGGGAAGAGGAAAAAGAGGAGAGAAGAGAGGAAGAGGAGCTAAGCAATGAAAAAAACACTCACCCTAGCACACACAACTAATAATTTTAGCCATTCTGCTCCACCTTCTTCTGCCTCTTAAAAATGAAAAAAAAAATCCTCCCTAAAAGAATTTCAAGATTAGATAAGGTGGCAAAGTATACAGATAAAAACTAAGTAACACAGAAGGCAACAGATAATATGCACTAAGCCCAGCATCAGTGACAGGGCCTGGGAGAAGGGAGTCCTTTCACTTAGTACTTCTGTAAATCCTGCAGGCTCTGCCCTCACAAGACAGCTGGACCCTGACGTCTCCCTGACATCCAAGTCACCGTCGTCTCCCACCAAGACTGTGGCTGCAGCCTTCTGGCCGCTTCCTGATGCCACTCCCACCTCCACAGTGTACCCTCCAAACAGCACTCAGGGAAATCTTACTGAAAGATAAGTTGGAGTGGAAGAAAATGAGATTTTTTTTTTTAAAAGAAAAGGAAAGAAAAAGAATTAAGAAATGTCACATACGTGTACCAACTCCCCACAAGAAATGTAATCATTATATACTACAAACATGTGCCCAGAAATAAATACATAAGTACATAAATGATAAATTGGTTCATACCCAACAGCTTCCCTGAACACTGAGAACCAAGTCAAACCCCTTGACAGGGCCCTAGAGATTAGGCCCCGATCTCATTTTTACCACCCTCTCCCCCAACTGGCCTCTTGCTGGTCCTCAATGCACCAAACTCTTGCCTCCTCCTGGAATGCCCTTCCCCAAAATACATCCGTGTTCACCCCTCGCTCTGTCTAGTCTCTTCCCAGAGTCACCTCACTCAGCTCCGTTCCTCACCACACTGCCTAAAGCAACCATCGATGTGCCCACCACCTCCCCAGGTGCCCTCTGCCCCTTGCCAGCTGTTCCTCCTTTTTTAAGTTTATTTTTATAAGTCCATGCAGTACACAATGCTTCCATTCATCGTGGGGAGTTGGTACCTGTGCGTGACACGTCTTGATTCTTTTCTTCATCGCCTTCCCTGCCCTCCCTCCTCACTCCCTCCATTGCTTGGCCCTCTTCCCTCTGGCAAAAGATCTGTCGCCCGGGTTCCTATTATCTATTTTTTTATTTTGTTCCTTATTTATATTTTGGAGTTGTCATATAGAGAAATCAGGAATTACCACCCTTTCACAGTTACAGTTGTCGTTGTGCACTTCCTGGCTGCCTCCCAGGAATAAACTCTCCATGGCAATGGGCACGGTGAACAGAATA